CCCCCCCCCCTCCCCCCTTTCCCCCGGGCATATCCAATCGAGAAACATCCTCCCGAGTGCTGGACCGCCGGCCCTTTTCCCCTCCCCACCTGTCCTCCCGCTCTGCTCTCCTTTGGGCAGGCATTGTTGTTGCTGGCCTTCTCCCTCTCCTCGCCAAGCCCATGTCACATTCATCTCGGGTTGATACTCGTGCTCTCCGGACCGAGCTCTTGTCATCCCTCGCCGGGACTGCCATGCAACCAGTCGGGACGGCTAGCGCCTCCGGCAGTGGAACAGGCCTGAGCGATGTGCGGGACAGTTCGCTGAGTGTGCGGCCGTGAAGTCTCTCCTTCTCTTCCCCCTCTCTTTCCCTCTGCATATTCCCCCTGCATATTCCCCCTTCCCCGGCTCCGCCATTTTTGCTCCCATGCTGACATCTTTCCCGGTCCCTGTGCTTCACGAAGACGGCCATCCAGCTGCTGGAACGGTACGACCAGTCGCGGGCGGTTCTGGCACAGTATGGTTCGGCGATCGAGCCAACGCCCGAGGCACGCCAAGCGGCCAGTGCCCTGCACGAGGCGGAGATCCTCCTGCAAGCGTACTTGGCAGCGGCGGAGGAGGCACAGTCGCCGGCGCCATGCTCATCCTAGAGGCCCTTCGTGAACTACACACAAACCCCCCCCCCCCATGTCGAGAAATGGATGCAACAAAACCCCCACCTGCAGAGGGGACATCTGGTGACCATGGGCGGGCAAGCACAGGGGGGCATATCACGGAGAGGGGGAGAGCGCAAGAGAGCGAGAGAGAGAGAGAGAGATATATATAGAGAGAGAGAGAGAGAGAGCGAGAGAGAGAGAGAGAGAGAGAGAGAGAGAGAGAGCGAGAGGGGAGAGCGAGGGAACCGAGGAAGGGCGTGTGCATGCACAGGATATGTGTACGCGCGCGGATGAAAGTAGAAAGGAAAGGAGATGCAACTAACTAGGAGTGTATTTGTGTCGGGCCATGTCGCGCACCGCGTGTGTATGGGTGGGTGGGCGGACACACATGCGGAGAAGGGAGCGGGGAGGGACAGGAGGGACCCATGTGGCAGGGAGGGGGAGGGGGGACGAGGAGGGGGACTGACGTGTCGCATGAGCAATCGCCCACGGACACTCTCCGCCCCACCTCCACCACCCTGGCACCTTGCGCCGGGGAGAGGGGGGGGGGGCGCAAAAGATGCACCCCATGCATGTGTGTGCGACCGTACGCGCACACAACACATCGGGGGGACCGGACGCCGAACATAGCATACACATGCGCGCGAGGCGCAGGAAAAAAGGGGGAGGGGAAGAGGAGAGACCCGACGTCGCGCGCAGGCAGGTGCGCGCGGCATGTGGCCACGCGCGAATGGCAGGTCTCAAAAGGAGGGGGTTTTGCGCGTGGCACACACACACACACACATACATACATACACGCGCATGTGCATATACGTGGACATATGTTCCGCACAGCCGCGCACGGGAAGGAGAGGCGCGCGGGAGGGAGGGGCGCAGCACATGGGGCGGAAGCGCACTCCGGCACCAACACACAGAGAGAGGAGGGGAGACATGCCGCCGCGGCGGATGGCTATCCTCTACGTGCGCCTGCCCGCCCCCTTACGCTGCCCCATCCCCCGCCTGCCCCCGGCGCGGCCTTCTCCCCCGCCCTCGCCCCCCTCTCACGAGGAGGAAGGAGAAAAGGGAGAAGGCCGGGGCACAGGAGGGCGGGGCCAGCCTCGGGCCATTTAGGAAACCCAGGTCCACTGGCTGCAGTCGTTGCACTTGGACGGGGCAGGCTTGCAGGCGGGCACGGGCTTGGGGCTAATGTACTTGTCGATGACCACGCTGATGCGGTGGTTGTTGACGTTCTCCACGCCACCGGTGTAGATGCACTCGTTACCAATGTGGCAGCCAGTCTCCAGGGCGTAGCCGGCCACGGCGCAGGCCGAAGCCGCACCCTTGCAGGTACCGCGGAAGATGGGGTCGGCGGTGCTGCCGAAGTGCCAGATCTCTGCGAGAGTGGCGCACAAGGAAGGAGGGGGAGGGAGGGGGCGGGGGGG